CTTCAGGGGGCAGATGTCTTGGTTTTGAGGCCCCATGACTTGTGTGGTTGGTGAGAAGGACAAGGTTGGTGCTGGCCATGAAATGGTTAAGGACTCCTTTAAGCCAAGGGGCTCCTCCTGTGTTGAAGAGCAGTTCAATCAGGGCCCATTAGTCCTTGTGTTTGACAGATTCCCTCTTGGACTTCGGAATCCCTTTTTTCTTACGTCTTGTCTCTTCCCAGACTGTTCTGGAGTGTTCAGTTTCTGCATTGGCACAGGCCTTTTTGCATCTTATTCTACAACTTTGCCAAAGAATTTCTCTTCTTTCATTTAACATGCTGACCCATTGCATGGGTAGATTTCTTCTTGAGGAAGGGCAGACTGGAGGTGGGGAGGGGGATGTTTTGGAACTGCCCATATCTTCTTGCCAAGCGCGATGAGCCTTTGTCTTCTGCAAACTCTTGCGTATATACCAGTTTTCAAAAGCAATTTGTTGGTGCACAGAAGGAAATCTGGCAGGCTCTGATTGTATCCCTGCAGAATCTATTGGTTGATCTTTGCGTTTCCTTCTTTCTGTTTTTCTTTTCAGGTCAATGCTAGTGTTGCCCGTGGCTCTTCAGGAGGGGAGGCTGTGAACAAGGCTGCAGCAGAGGGAGCTTTGCCTGCTTGCAGGAGCTGTGTGAACATTTGCCAGGAGCCCGAGGAGCTTGGTAAGGAGTGAGCCCAGCGTGGTTTAGAGAGATGGGAGACAGCTGCTCTGAGCCTGCCTCTGACAGGAAGAGAGATCAGAAGAGTTGAGTCCTTGTCTCAAGCAGGGTTGGTGCTTCCTGGTGCCTTTAGTTCCAATCCTGCACTGGCACAAGCTCCCCGAGCCCTGCCCCTCCATGCTTTTCCAGAGGCTCTGACACCGAGTCCTCTGCTGTGGCAAGAGAGCCGGCAATAAACCTGAGCTGGTGGCAGTTGTGTCACCAAGCTGCGTGTCCCAATTGGTTCCCAGCTCACAGCAGCCTTCAGCTTCAGCCACTGCAGTGAGGACTGACGTCTCTGCGTCAGCCCAGAGAAAGAACAAGGCTGGGCTTCTTTGTGGCAGCTGGCACTGTCTGTGTTTCAAGCTCTCGGGGGTGCCATTTGCACTGGGAGGGTTGTGAATTGATTGGCGTACTTCAAAACTTCACAAGACTGGAAAGCTTGGAAGGATCCCTGTTCTTTAAAGAGCAGGATTCAGATTCTCAAGTGAGAGTGTGCCTTTCAGGCCATCTTTGACAGCCTTTGCTAGCAGGACAGTTTACTTGCAAAGGGAAAGCTACACGGAGGCCAGCATTGACTGAGAGTTGCCTTTCCTTGCCAGATATCCATGTGATCTACCTGGCCAGAAGGGCTGCCCTGCGTGGGAAGAAGGATCAGAGGGAGAGCCTGTGACCATCGGGCAGGTGGCATCCTCTGTTTATAGATACAGTTAGAGATTTTTTATCTTGATTTATTTATACATATAGTTACAAGTATAGATTGATAGAGTTGTATTTATAGGTGTTTCTATTTATCCATCTGTAGAGTTTGTATGTTTAGTTAGTTATGGATGTGATAGGATTTTATTTGTATGTATACAGTTAGATTTATAGATTTTCAAATTTGCATTTCTATATGTAGAGAATAACATTTCTATGTGCACACAGTTCCATTTCTAAATGTGCATAGTTATTTAGCTATGAGCTATATGGATCTATAGGTGCATAGATTGAGCTGTGTAGGCCTAGGCTGCATTTTTGCCTCTTTCCCCCCTGGCTGCCTTTTTCATCTCTTGTTTTTCCCGCTGTGCCCCTTGTGTCCCCCTGTGCTGGGTCCGAGCTGGGGCCGGGCCAGGCGGAGCAGCAGTTGCAGCCCTGGCTGTCCCTGGAGCGGTGGGAGCTGCCGCTGGCCCCAGGCACTGTCCTGTGAGGAGCTGCTGAAGGACGCTGAGACTGAGGGGGCTGAGGAGGCGCTGATGCTGAAGGGACCTTGCAAACCTTGAGGTGTGAGGGGCACTGAGGGCTGTGGGGGAGCAGAGGGCCATGGTGGCACGGAGGTGACAGAGGCACGGGCTGAGGGCTGTGCCGGCTCTGAGGGGACACAACGGCTCAGAAGGGACTGAGCGGGGGGAGAGGCCTGGGAGAGGCCCAAGAAACTGAAGAGGGGGCTGGGGCTTTGCCGAGAGGATGGCGGGGCTAAGGGGATGGAGGGGGCCAGGAGGGAGCACACAGAGCTCAGGGACTGCAGCTCTGCCAGGCCTTGGAACCAATTCCAGAGCCTCCACTTTTGCCACCACAGCTGTCCTGAAGAGCTTGAGGACAGGCAGACACTGAGAGGAGCCAGCAGGGAGAAGCTGAAGGCCTGGAGCAAGAGCAGTGAGCAGGGATGTGCTGGGGCCACGCGAGAGCCTGGGTGAGGCCCCAGGGCTGGTGAGGCCGGGCAGGGCTGAGGGTGGCGTGGGCTTTGGCCGTGGGCGCTGCCCGGCCGGGCAGGAGCGGCCCCTGCCCGTGCTGGGGCTGCTCAGCGCTGCTGCCCCGGCCGGCACAGGGGCTGTCCTTGGGCAAGGCAGCTGTGCCGGCAGGGCCCGGGAGCTGTGCCGGGCTGCCGGGGGCTGCGGGACAGTCCCGCCGCGCCTGCGCTCGCCACACGCTGGCCCGCTCGGCCTGCTTGTTCTTGCCAACCCTCCTGGGGAGGCTCGGAGATTTTCGCTTCCCTGCTGGAAGTGCAGCTGCTGCCAAGGGAAAGGTCCCAGCACTGACTCGCTCTTCCCTTTGCCTCCCAGATGTCCCATCTGCTGTCCCTGTCCAGGAGAGCTGCTCTGCATGGCAGGAAAAGACTGAGGGAGAGGCTTTG